AGGAAGTGGCCGAAAATAATTTAATACGTCAATCAATCCTACTTTATGTCATATACTAACCAAATCTCTTTTTGTTATCTGACAAAATAAAAAAGTTATGGGGGTGAGGCACTTTTAAGACGTACCCGGTGTGTTACGAGTGGTAAATTCATGAATTAAGAAATGTGTTTTTTATATTTTATAGAAAAATATCTTTACAACTTTTCGCGATATAAAAGGACCACCCGCTATATTGAGATCAAACAAAGCCGCTTCCATATATCTTTCAAACGTCAATTTGGGCCGAAAAGTCTCGTTAAAAGCAGGAATATATACGAAAGTGTGCGTGTGTATCTGTGCGCGGCTGCGAGAGTTTGTATACGTATCCTTGAAACATCGAAGTGTGATGTGAATTTAATAAAAATCGTCTGGCACCGCAGCTGCGAAATCGGCTAGCGTGGACTAAATAAAGGAACCGGCAAGTAACTAACTGGCCACGCCGCGCCAGGCCGCCACCTGGTCACAACACACAACCGCTCGCTTCTACCAGATCAAATTTTCGGCTGCGGATATATTATACGAATTGAAAGATTTACGATCGATAGACTATCGGACTATGATACAGTTGAGAGGTCGTCTCAGTAACCTGACTCTAAAGCAGGGTCCAGACGTGTGTAATGTAACATAGAGTGTAGTTCGTGAACGAACCAGTTCCAATGAAATATTCCGACCCCGGAATGAAAGGAACTAGTTCCTCAGGACCTATTCTGGGATCGAGACTGTGACCGATATACAGGGTGGTCGGAACTGTATTCCGAAAACTTCGGCAACAAATTCTGCAGATAAAAATAAGTAAAAAGTTCTAAATGTATGTCCTAAAATGCTTATTTTCGGAGATACAGGGTGTAGAAGTTTCATTTTTATTTCGATTTTCTAAAAATAATTTATGAAGTAACGTAAATATTTGGATGAAAATTGGTGTCTGGGAGTCTTTTTACATAAGAAATTTAATTTTGATGTCAATATGACTCCTATTTGTAGGTGGCGCAACCTACATGTGTTTTAACTAGTTTGAAGAGTAATAACTTTTCGTCCGTACCTGTATAAAACTACTGAGTAAAAAATATACATTTACGATATGTTTTATGTAAAAAAGGTCTCTTGGAAAAAATTGCTGCGAGTAATGGTTCTTGAGATATTTGGAATCGAAATTATCAATACCTGTCATCATTCACATAAATTAAACATGTTGACTAAATAGTTATTAGACTGAAATCATAAATTTGAAATGTTTTTGTGCCAAAAGTTCAACAGAAACTGTTTTATCGTCATTTTTTCGCAGAAAAATTTAGGATTAATTTAAAAAAATAAAAATTGCCCGAATCCATTATTTCAGTCAAATAAAATCTACTCAACTTGTTTATTTTTTGCCAATAATGGCATAGAGGTGGAAATTCTAGTTCCTTGGGAGGAACTAGTTCCTCCTCCAGAGAAATAGTTCCTTGAATTAGGTCTTTAGTTCACAATAGTTCCCGACTAACATTGACATCCCCCTTGCTTACTAATGCGTTTCGTTGTCAGTCAGAACTATTCACAGTATGATCTGTATAATTTTTATAATGTACGGAGATATAACGAGACGTGTAATTGTGTATGTTAAAAACATATAGGTAAGTTTTATTGCAGATAAAAAAAATAAAAATAACTCAAATCAGAATTTAATAAACTATATAATAAATCAATTGGAGCAAATATTACAAAAATTTTACGAAAAATTGAACTTTTCCTCACTAAAAAAATTCAGAATATCTACTTCATTTTATAAGATATTTCTTAATTTTAGGGACCTAAATTGAAACATTCCCATAAAATATTTAAAAAACAAACTAAAAATCAAAAACAGTATCCACGACAATTTTCTATGGCAATTCCGCCGCGCCGGCTGTGGCAATAGACAAGGCCGAATCCATCGTCGTCGCCTTGTATTATATCTCGGATCTGCCGTCTGAATAGATTCCCGTGAACTAGTCTTTTAATAGTTCCTCTATGTCCGGATCCGATAACATACGGCTGGCACTCCCCACGCCTGCCTAGCATCAATCGCGCTGGCTAATCCATACGTAAACTAGTCTTTTATTTAGTTCCTCTAGTTCCTTTAGGTCCGGATCCGATAACATACGGCATACGGCTGGCATTCCCCACTCCTGCCTAGCATCGATCGCGCTGGCTGATCCATACGTAAACTAGTCTTTTATTTAGTTCCTCTAGTTCCTTTAGGTCCGGATCCGATAACATACGGCATACGGCTGGCATTCCCCACTCCTGCCTTGCATTGGGCTACGCGCGCTAGCCGATCCGTCGCCGTCGCATATTATTCTATATCGGTCACAGTCTCGATCCCGGAATAGGTCCTGAGGAACTAGTTCTTTAAGAAACCAGGAACTAGTTCCTTTCATTCCGGGGTCGGAATAGTACATTGGATCTAGTTCGTTCACGAACTAGACACTTCTATAATGACATGTATTGACAATTTCCATTCTAAATATCTTGAGAACAGTTACGGGTAGCGATTTTTACCAAGATATATTTTTTACGTAAAAAGTCACGGAAATGTATAATTTTTCACTCAGTACTTTTATACAGGTACGGACGAAAAGTTATAACTCTTCAAAACAGTTAAAACACATGTAGGTGGCGCCACCTACAAATGGGAGTCATATTGACATCAAAATCAAATTGTTCATGTCAAAAAACTCCCATACACCAATTTTCATGCAAATATTGACGTTACTTCAGAAATTATTTGGAAAAAATCGCAATAAAATTGAAACTTCTACACCCTGTATTTCCGAAACTAACCATTTTAGGGCATATATTTATACGAACTTTTTTCTTATTTTTATTTGCAGAATATGCTGCCGAAGTTTCCGGAATACAGTTCGACCACCCTGTATAATAATATGACGGCGACGACGAGGGACTAAATAAAAGACTAGTTTACGTACGGATCGGCCAGCACGATCGTAGCCCGATGCTAGGCGGAGTGGAAAGTGTCAGCCGTATGTTACCTGTCTCGGACCGAAAGGACTGAGAGGAACTAGAGGAACTAATTAAAAGACTAGTTCACGGAAATCTATTCAGTCGGCATATATAATAGAAGGCGACGACGATGGATTCGGCCTTGTCTATTGCCACAGCCGGCGTAATTATCACAGAAAATTGCCGTGGGTACTGTTGATTTTTAGTTTGTTCTTTGAATATTTTATGGAATGTTTCACTTTAGGTCCCTAAAATTAAGAAATATCTTATAAAACGAAGTAGATATTTTGAATTTTTAGAAGAAGTGAGGAAAAATGCAATTTTTCGTATTATTTGCACCAACTGATTTTTGATATAGTTTTTTAAACTCTAATTTGAGTTTCTTTTTTATTTTTTTATCTGCAATAAAACTTACCTATATGTTTTTAACATACGCAATTACACGTCTCGTTATATTTCGTACATTATAAAAATTATACAGATTATACTGTGAATAGTTCTGACTGGCAACGAAACCCATTAGCAAGCAACGGGGATGTCAATGTTAGTCGGGAACTACTGTGAACTAATAACCTAGTTCAAGGAACTATTCCTTTAGAGGAACTAGAACCAAGGAACTAGTTACTCCCAAGGAACTAGAATTCTCACCTCTAATGTAACATTAATGTAACACGAATTCTTCATTGAAACTAAAAAACTAAAAAAGTTTCGAACTTCCATTGTCTTTATTTATTTTACTTACACAACATTTCGGTCAGAAGTACCACTGACCGTTATCAAGTGTGAACTAGAGATAAAATGATCAAATAAGGTCCATTAATAAATCATAGGTCCAGAAAACCTCTATACGGTGCCGGTGCTGCAAAAGTTATAAAATTGGATTGTAGAATATATGGGAAGGAAGAAGTTAATAACCGCAATTTTGTAGATCTAGTGTGTCCCCCTTTCTTGAGGTATAACTCATCATACAGTATTGAACGTGGATACGTGTACTTAATGAGGAACCTCCACTTACATTAAATAATAAATGAAAAATTTATTTGTGTAACAAATAAATTTCGCAAGTAGTATTTATGAGATTAAAAAAATGAACTAATTATTAAAGAATTCGACAATAATTAAAATGATTGTATCTTGGTTATGAAGTTGCGTCAGCTGACTAGGTACTACAATTTATTACTATTAATCTACCAGACGAAACAATTGGTAAAAATGCGGCTGTCGCATTTATGTCGTTTGTCATTTGACACTAATATCTGCTTATTAAATAAACAAAATGGCCTTGGGCATATACGTACGTATATTATTGGACTTAAATTGAGGATAATCACGTATCGATTCAAAATATTTCGCCGCCGCTATTATATGCGGCTACCAGTGGCGGTTCCTCAATAAGATGCAAATGAACTTCATGTGCAAATGAACTTCCAGATTTAATGGCTCTTCTAAGTTGTAGTAAGTTACAGTACAACCGTACAAGACTTCAAGGTAATGCAAAACGCAAAAAAATATAAAGCGGAACTCAAAAACCTGGAAGACTCCATCTGTAACCTGGAATGGGAATCCTCCAACGGCCTAAGACACTCGATGAGATTTCTAAGAACTTACGACCGAAAAATCAGAAAGTTTCCTTGATTTAGGTAAGAACAATCTTCGGATTGTCACGTTTTTTTAACAGAACACTGTCTCCTCAATAAACACCTCAGTAGAATGAAGCTAAGAAACAACGGAGGGAAATGGGAACACCAAGAAACACCAGAACACTTCACACTGAGTTCGCCAAGACCACAACAATTCGTGCCATAAACTTTGGTACGAATGTTATCGGAGATTGAGACCTAATCTCTGTAAAACAGTTTCAGATACTGGCTTTTGTCCAAGTCCTAAGACTGTATGATGAGTTGTAACTGAAGAAAGTGAAACAAAATAAATTTATAAGGTCGAAGTGATTAACTACCCCTCATATACAATCTACAACCTACAAACAAGTTGCAACGATTTCCTTCTTCCGTTTCCTAATCTCCACCTCTCACTATCTGTTCCATCTACTTCTAAATCCGCAACTTCTTTGTTAAAACTCTCTCTCTCTCCAGCTCTTGCGTGGTCTTCCTTTCTTCCTTCTACATTGATTATTCTTACCTAAATTAATTATTACTTAAACAATTTAATATTTAAGTTGGGATTAAATGTTCTTCTTCAATGTCGTGTTTTATTATCATTTGGCGTCTTATGGTTTCATTTGGCATTTTATCTTTCCTGGGTTTTCCAGTCGCTCTTCTCGAAAAGTCCATAGGCTTTCACCATTCTTGCAGCTTTCTCTTTCAAGAGCCATAATTCAGAGCTCCCAATTAGCATTTTTAGACACAAAATCGAAACAAAATCTCTGCTGTGAAACATTGCAAAACAGTTTCTTCACATTTTTAATACATATGTTTTGTAACATAAATCGCTTTTTGTTTCGAAAATTTTACCAAAATATGGTTTCGCTACATAAACTATAACATTAAAGATCTTAGTGTCACAAATTTTTCGAAACTTTTAAGAAACAGATGTGGCTCACATTTACAGATTTCGTACCCGTTTTGTATCTGAAAAGTTTCCATAATTTAGTTGATATTCTGTCATATATGAGAACATAACCTTGCTTTATTGTTTTAATTTGGTTCAGCAGTTTTTGCATTTAAGCATTCTTCAAGTTTTTATAGTACTACAATTAAAAAAGCAGAAGGAAGGGCATATGGTGAGTACAAATACATATATTTTTCTTCTGCGCTTATATAATTATTATTATATAATAAATATAATAACAGCCACTACCCATACCCAACAAGGAACCGAAGAAAAATGTTACCAGCAAACGTTTTTTTTTTCTCTCTTTTCCACAAAGGAATACATGTTTTTATGTTTTAATTGTGTTATAATAAGTAAATAAAAATGTTTTAATTATTTTGATCACAAGTTTTGATTGGCGTTGTTGACAGGTGAAATTTCTACACAGATAGCGCTAAATCGAAACATTTTGGAAACAAGGTTTCCATTTATTGTCGATTAATTTTCGAAACACGAGTTTCTCTCTTTTTAGACACAAATATGATCGGTATAATGTTTTGAATCACGGTATAAACAGCCTTTATTATTTTGTGTTCGTGATACTTTGTTGAAGCGTCTACGAAATTCTCCCCAAAAATAAGTTTTCTTTATTTCTTCATCAAAAAAAATAATATGAACTTCCTTATCGTGAATCGGCACGTAACGCCGTACGCGTGGTCTGATTACTTCTTTCACTACTAATAAAAACATTAGATCTAATTGGTCAAACATTTGCCACCCGCACACTTTGTGCACATGTAGTCCGTGCTCTTGCAGCACGTGATTGGTATTATCAGCATCATATTGGATCTGGTTTTAACGAATTACAAAAATTATATTAGCGTGCAATATTTAAAGATAAAATTTTTTTTTAATAAAGTAACATATTAATTTGTAGTTTCAGATTGACGATTTGATAGCCCCAAAAGAATCATCTTTAGGCGTGGTTACGTGACAATTTATTCTTTTAAGGTTGTGCAACCCCAAATTACTGAACCACGAGGCGCCACTGGCGGCGGCTACTTAAATTGATACCATGGCAAAAAAACTTGCCAAGAATGCCCAACCGACCGAGACCAATCAATGTCAAACAAGATCACCTGATAATATCGGCCGATTTCGGACCCGAAATTCTTCGGATGCTTAGCCATTATCTGCCGAATTACTGAAGAAGGGTTTAATATTCAGTTCCTGCAGATAAATCAGTTTTTTTTCTTTATTGCAAAAAAACTAATAAATTATTCATCATTGTTCTGCAGAATTGTTTTACATAAATTGTTTGCAGCTTTAAATTATAAAAAAAACTAGAAACAATAGTATAATTTAATTGTCGGTATTGAAGAAAGTCGTTATAATCATTAAATTAGTAAAAGAAAAATAAAGGTTTCACATTACTGTAGTGTTTGTTTTATACAATCTAAAGGACTACCATAACTGTAATAGATGTCAAATTTGTAACAGATGTCTCAATAACAGAAGTATATACAGCATGTCCCCGGATTGTCTTTACACGAGAAAAAACTTTTTTATTATTGACATTTTGGGAAAAATGTATTCTTCATAAAGATGTTTGCTTGTTTCAAAATGGTTAAACCTGTTTATACTTTTCGAAATTTCCATACCGTTTCAGAGAAAATAAAGAAAAACATGAAAAAAGTGTTGAATGAAAGTCCTAAAAATCAAAAGGCGTTTCTGTGGTAATATCAATTCGATTTCATTCTTTGATAGATACTTATTATTATTAATTTTGATTAATATCATATTCTTTGCTGTTGTTAAAGTATCACATTTTCCGATAACTATCATCACCTTTTCCGGAGCATTGAACTAAATAAATGTTGTGCTTCTTTAACATTCTAAAATAGAAGTAAAAATAACACTTTCTGTGGCGAGGCTGTACGTTTGACGGCTGTACGGCATGCAGCCGAGTAGAACATTCTATTTTTTTTCCAAATGCCAAAAATAATTTTTTAAACAATTTCAAACGATCCAAATAATACAAAAAGATTTAAAAGTAATACCATGTATGTAATTATATATCGAGAAACTATGGTTACGGCTCGTTGAATTTGACACTTTATGTCGGTTTAGGAATAATATTTTCGTACTTTTATGCCCATTTTATGCCTAGGCGTTAAAATGACTTTTTTCCATTGTCAGTCACGTCGCAAAAATTAATACTTTTGTGACGTTTGAAAAAAAAATTACGTTAATTATTAAAAGTCTACGAATAATAATCTATCAAAGAATGAAAAGAAAGTTATATTACTATAGCAACGTGTATTGATTTTTAGGCCTTAGAAAAAATTCAACCATGTTTTCAGGTTTTTCTTAATTTCCTTTGAGAAGGTATGGAAATTTGGAAAAGTATAAACGGGATTAACCATTTTAGAACAAGCAAAAATTTTTATGAAGATGCATTTTTCTCAAAATGCCAATAATAAAAAAGTTTTTCCTCTTGTTAAGACAATCCGGGGACATACTGTATATAAAAAAAATGATTTTGTGCTTAAATTTTGAGAACCACTGGATCTTTTCTGTTTTTTTTTTGTAAATTTAATCTACTAGCTATATTGCCATATTATCAAGAAATTATGTTTTTTAACTAAAAACTAAAAATAAATCCAAATTTTCAAAAAAAAATGTTGCACGAAAAAAACTTATAATAATGTTTCTGGAGTCGAAATATACTACCCCTAAAAATATTTGCACTTATTTAATTAATAATAAACAATGACTCACCCTGTATAACATGTCCTTATTGTAACGATTGATTATTTGATTAATTTCATAGAAATTTCTGTAGTAACATATAACTGTTATTTCTACATCTCCTCGGATTACATGCTAATTTTAAAGTAACATTAGGGATGATTTATAGCATTATTGATTAAGATATTTAGGGAAACTTTGCCTAAAAATAGAAACATTCTAAGAAAGAATGATTATAACCTACTTTTTAATCATTCAATATAAATATACAACGGTATTGGCTTATACCATTTCATGCAAGGGAAATATTTTAAAAGTTTGACAGTGGTTCGGACTTGATTTTTGACTTACGTTTTTTACTATGGGTCACCACTTTGTGAAAATGAACAAACTCTGTGCACTTTCCGAAACAAAAAAGAAAGGTAATGGAACAACAAAACTAAATAACTACATTTTAATATACTCAGGCGTACCAAAAGACCAAAGAGCAACATCAGACGTTGGAGTAGCTATAAATGATAAATATGAACAGAATATAGAAAGCATAGAATACGTGTGCGACAGAATCCTGAGAGTAAAGATTATGTTTGACCAACCCATTCACATTATATCATTGTACGCACCCGACATTAATAAACCTGAAGAAATGTCAATGGACTTCTACGAAAATCTACAGTCAGCGATAGACAAAATACCAAGACATGAAAAGATAATTCTGTTAGGGGATTTAAACGCAAGAATTGGAAACGAGGTAGTGGATGGAATAAAACAAAAATATAATGAGAATATAACTAATAGAAATGGCGAAATTTTGACCGAATTCTGTGGACAGAACGAACTGAGAATAAACAACACATATTTTCCCCATAAAGAACAACACAAATACACCTTTTATGACAATAGAAACAATAAATCAATAATCAATTATATCATCACCAATCGAAGTTTTTTACTTCAACAAATAATAGACATAAGAGTCTTATCCACAGCCAGCATTGGAACAGATCACAAACTTGTGCTAGGAAAGATACGAATAGGTGCGCCGCTATCCAAAAAAAGACCATCGATAAAAACTGAAAAATTCAATATAGAATCCCTCAACCACGAAAGCACTAAACAACTTTATTCAAACAGATGCCAAGTCACTATTAACCCCATAGCACAGTTTGATACTCCTAACACAGCTTGGAACAAACTGAAAGAAAACATCTGCAAAGGTGCTAAAAAAGCTTTAGCAACACGTACTGTATCACACAATAGAAGACCGAACATTAAACCTTGGTTTACGTTAGAAGTCAAGAAGATTACAAGGGAAAAGAAGGAAAAATACATACAATACAAGAAATCTCCAACACCGGAGAACCGAAATATCTATACCGAAATAAGGAACTGGACTAATAATAGAGTACGAGAAATTAAAGAAGAATATTGGCAGCAATTTAGTAGCGAAATGGCGGATATGTACGGAGCACAAAAACGTATTTGGAAGATGTTGAGGGGTTTGAAACAAGAAACAAATGAAACAATACAACTAAGAACAATTGCAGAAGATACATGGGAAAAATATTTCAGAGACTTATACGCAGAAACAGATGAACCAATGGAAGCACAAGAGACAAGCCAAAGAGATAATATAGAAGATCATGCGCACAACGAGAATCCTACGAACTACTGAAATGAAGACCTTAAGAATGATAACTGGATACACATTGAGGGACAGACAGAGAAATGTAGACATAAGAGAAAAGTGCCAAACAAACGACGTTGTCAGATGTATAAGCAGAGAAGAGAATGGAACCAGCATGTCAATAGAATGGGCCCCGACAGAATGGCCATGCGAATTATTGCAACAACGTACCCCATGGCAGAAGACCTACTGGACGACCACCTAAACGTTGGCAAGACAGTTGGCAGTCAACCTCGCAAGAGTTGCTTAGACGAGGAGGAAACCGGAACTAAACAGGCGATACGCCTTCTAAAAGAAGAAGAAGAACAAACTCTATACATTATAGTCCTAATTGCCTGAAGAACTATAAACCACAACACTGGAAATAGTAGAAAAATATACATATTTGGGACAACTAATACACAGCTCGAGATCTGTACTATCAGATATCAACAGAAGAATTAAGTTAGCATGGAGTACTTATGGAAGAAACTCAATCATATTCAAATCTAGAATGCCAAAATACCTAAAGAGGAAAACAGTCGACCAATATGTACTACCAATCATGACCTATGCATGCACAACCTGGACACTTGAAACGGACATAATCAGGAAAATGCAGGTCGCACAACTCTTTTAATGGAACGAAATACGCTGGGAAGAACAAGGAGAGACTGTACAAGAATAGAGTGGATACGACAAAAGACCCAGGTAATTGATGTCATCCACAGAGTCAAATATCCCAAATGGCAATAGGCAGGATACCTGGCAAAAAGAATGGACAACGGATGGACCACAAAAATTACAGCATGGTACCTAGGAGGAATTAAGAGACCTAGAGGAAGACCAAATCTAAAATGGGACCATGATAATTAGGAAATTAGCAGGGATAACTTGGGCCCGTCTAGCCAACAATAGACAACAATGGGCCCAACTACAAAGAGAGTAGTAAGACCATGTTTCGCAATAATTTCTGGTAAGCAACAGGACAACAACAACAGGAAAAACTCATAGCAACAGAACAGGAAGCCATAACCAAGATTAGAAACGGAATACAACTTATTTCAAAGCAAAAACTAACGCCAAAGTCAAATTTGACCTAAATAATTTAATAAAAAATGGCATACTATGCGGAATTTATCTGTGACACTGTATATAATCAGAAATCTGTCATAATTTACTTAAGAAAGTGCTTAAATATTATGAAATCTGACCATCGCAATTAAATGAGAAATTAAATCCTTAAATGAAGTTAGTAAGAACGATTATTAAAGGGAGAATCTCCCGCTGCCGCGCCGCGTCGAGAGATCTCCACTGCCGAGGCTCGTAAAAGACAATTTTAATTAAATTATTTCAACCGAGATAAACGCCCGCGGCATTTCCAGTCTCTTATCCCTTGAATTAATTTCCTAAATTAACTTTGTTCTTTTTGCTTTTCCAGAACAATGCACAGGCTTGAAACTTCGTCAGTGTTTATATTAAATTACTTTTTTGTTGTTTTATTTTGTTCATTCATTTATTTGCAGATGTTTACTTTTTTTTATTAACTTTTAAAACAAAACTAAACAATATAAAAAATAAGTAAAAGTAAAAAAAATAATTTTTTATGAAACAAATTCGGAAAAAATTTGAAATCTTGGTAGTCGATCTGTCGCACACCGCTAAAATAAGTGACATTGAATATGCAACACCCATGGCATAGATAAAAAAAACAAATTTAGATTGGAAAGTGCCCATAAAGACAATGTAAATACTATTTGGCGCTATTCTTACAACGGTCGCTCTCCAAAGCTCTTGATAATTTCGGAGCGGTTCGGCATTTTCCGGAATTATGTCGCCAAATATTGTTTATTCAAATTTATTATTATTTTCTACTAATTTTTTAAATAAAATACAGTGTGTTGTATATAAGAAACTTTATTTTATATAAGGACATGTATGAAATACATATGAAACATTAAAAACCGATGTTATGCCACGATCCACGATTGTTTTTACAGTTTACACAGCTTTTTAAGTTTTTTAATGTCACTTTTTCACAATTATCACGGGTATGAGTAAATCAAATTTAAATTAAACTCACAAGATAGCAATAATTACTTTGAAAATGGACGCTTTAAACAGTTTTCGGTATTTTTTCAATGAGGACGGTTTAAATTTTGAGAGATTTTATAATTTTTGAAGATTCTGACTTTGACAAGAGAAAATTATTTCTGTTCTTGTTTGGCGGTTGTTCTTAGCAACCGCTATGGCAGCGCCCTACAACGTATGCGCCCCAAAACAATAGTAAGTTTTGGCGGCAAGCCGAGCATTCCAATCTAAAATTGTTCCCTTTATCTATGACCCATGGAAAGTGCTTTAATTTTCACTATAGGTTGAAATGTTTCACAATAACACTTTTGGTCCTGCCTCTCTGGTTATCTCCGCTCATCCCTGACTTTCATAACTTTTTTTTTAATTTTATATTTTGTAATCTAATTTGTTTTTATTTTTGTAATTTAATTTTAGTTTTCTAATTAAATTAATTTCTATTTTGTTTTTAAAGTCGCACCACTCTGGCACCTTGTCTCTTTGTATCTTTAAACACACACATTTATTTATTATTAATCTGTAATAATTTGTAATTCTAATAGGGTCTAATAAAAACATTTGAATTTGAATTCGAAATACGGTATAAAACAGGGAGACTTGAAGAAGGATAAAGGAGAGATTATACCAGGAGTGAATGAATGCGAGTTGAGAAAGGGGAAGACTTGAAGGATTATAAGCAGTCCACAAAACGTACTAAGTAACTCGTCAAGAGAAGAAGACATGATAAAAAATGTTTGTTTGATAGAAACGAAGTTGGTCCAAGAATGCCTAGAGAAGCAGAACAAATTAGAAAAAAAATGTCTATACCTATGTGGCGGATTCATCTCTCCAAAAAATCCTATATAGGTAGGTATTTCGCCACTGCAAGAAAATCTACAAAATAAAATAGTTATTTTTTGCAAACACTGCTGCGTTAATCCAAACGGAAACTACTTGTCAGTAGTTAGGTTTACAGATATACAAATTTCCTTATTCATTTTTGAATCCGTTTGCTTAATCCGCAAGCACATATCTGCTATTCCCGAAAGGCCATCTCACAACTATCCACTGAGGAATGCGGAGCACGCCCTTTAACTGCCAACCCCGAGCTCGGAACTAGTTAAATCTCAATACCGTACAATACCAAAAAAATGTACCATCATCTGCCTTTGAATATCAAGTCACTTTCATTCTTTCCCGCATTTCGCAAAGCTCTGAAATCATACTTACTGGAGAGAGATTTTTTTGGCTTTTTGTACAATAAAGCGTTGTTTATTATTTTTATTATTTGGCATGAACTGTAGATGTAATTGTGTCCCCGTCTTGCCGTCTAGTAGAAATTCACCTTAAGAGTCTATTACGCTGTACTTTCGGGTTGCTCTAAGGCAGTGATTCCCAAAGTGGTCCAGGTGGACCCCCAGGGGTCCACGGGAGACTTGCTGGGGGTCTACGTAGGCGTGAACAAAAAATGGGGGTCCATAAGATGTTAATGGGGGTCCACGAAAATTTATCTGCTTTTGATAGTAAAGAGCAAAAATGTAAGCATAGTTTTTATAAGGGCCTACCTACATTGTTTTAAGTACCTATCTAAGCAGATAATATTTTAATAAGGCAAGCGACTGTTACTTGTCCAAACTTGCGTATTCGATATTACGTACAATTTCGTGTACAGACTTGCAAAGCGCTATCCGCCCGACAATGCTTAATGCTTGTTCAGACATGAACTTGATCACCACTATAAATACTTGATGCCAAAGGCAAACGCATTCATTTGTTTCGGAATTTCGAAAAAAAGGGCGGAATTTGGAAAAAAAGTTGTGAGAAAATTTATATCTGTGTTTGCTAGTGCCGGAGAAAAGTAAGTAACCTACCTTTTTTGTTATAGTACTTAAGTATTTTGTTTACGTGTACTAGTCGGTTGATCACAACGGCCTGTATAGATAGGTAACTTAGTAACTTACAGATATCTTAATTGTCCTCTTTCGATTTGAAGACAAACACAGCACGTTTTTATTCAATTGTTTTTTCACGAGAGAAACACTGCCTCTCTAAAAGGCCGAATAAGCAATATTGCAGAGCAATTAATTTTGTAATTTTTCTTGCAAATAACTACTAATTTTATAAAACAGTAATTTCATAATCATTTTAAATTGGTTTTGAAGTAACTATTTTATCAAAACTATTCCTTTTCGGAAAGAGCGAGCGGTGCGCGGGCGACGGGAAAAGGGCGGGGCTTGGACTTCGATGCCAGTTTGTCACGTTTTAACAATGAAGCCGCAGACAAAAAATACGCAAATACACGGAGCGCGTGAACTCATTGATTTAATAAAATGTTAGTTATCGTTTTTATGGACAATTTTGGGATTTCGACTTTATTTTTTCCTACACAAATATGATCAGTATTCGATACTGAGTACACCAATTTTATTTATACTATTAAAAATTAGTGGTAAATTATGTACTTTAAAATTGATACCGTTTTGTGAAAACGTCTGTATTTGTCTCAGCGGTTTATTAGTTGGTCCCTTTACAAGCCGTAATTCTATTTCCGCGTGCTGACAAAGGCTGCGGTGTGATACCTATATTCAGAAAAAAACTTGGTTACTAAAACATTTTTTTTACAGGTAAGGTAACTGACACGAAACATGGCTACAGCAAAGAAAAAATGTCGACAATATAGTATCGATTATTTGAAATATGGTTTTGTTCCATCAGAGGCAGACAAACAATTGCCCATGTGCCTATTATGCAACAAAGTTTTGAGCAATGACTCTATGAAACCATCAAAGCTCGAAGATCATCTAAAAAGGTGTCATACTGATAAAATAGGTAAAGATTTAAAATATTTTCAAACATTGAAAGAAAAATATGGAAAGAGACCCACCATGCACAGTATGTTCGCTTCAACATCTCAAAGTAACGATGATGGCTTGCGGGCA